CTTGGATAATTCTGAGTATTAGAGATTTGAATTCCCTATCAGGTAGTTCTAGTGCCTTTTCTTCTACTGGAAAGTCATCTGGTGTTTTATTTTGGACGCCTACCAGAGCCATCCTGTCCTGTTTTTGTAATTTTGTTTTGATATTGTCTGCTGTCTTCGGGGCATTCAGTAGTTATTTTTCTCATTTATTGATTCTAGATTTGTTTGTTTTGTCCTTTTTTTTTTTTTTTCTTTTTTAAATTTGGCTATGTCTGAGTAGGCGGGCTGTGTGTTCTTTGTTGTTTGTTCGTCTGTGGGCACGATGCTTTTCTCCTTCTCCAACTAGCAGGGTCAGTCACTCAGATATGGTTACAGCAGGGCAGGTCTAGCTGAAGAGGAGCTGCTGGGATGGGTTGATTACCAGGGCGGGTCGGTAATCAGTGCAGGGCAGGATCCGGTAGGCCATGCTTGTGCTGCTTGGTGGTGTGATGTTAAGCGCACAGTGCGGGTACGCAGAATGGAGGGGGGATATTGTGATGTGTGGAGCTGAGATGGGTATGGTAGAGAAGAGAGAGGTACAGGAGCCAAAAACATACAAACAAAAAAGAGTGCTAAGCGAGCTTACCATTGGAGTGGAGAGATGAGAGACTATGAAATGGAGAAAAACAAAAAGGGGAAGAAGAAGAGAAAAAGAAAAGAATGAATAAATAAAAATTAGAAAAAAAAAGAACAGCAAAGCTCCCAGTTATCCCACCAGTGCGGCTACGAGGTCTGGAGAAGTTGTTCCCAGGTGTTGAAGTACAGCCTGGCTGGGAGGCATAGAGATATTCAGCGCCAGGTATTCAGGGGACAGGAAGAGAAGGAAGGTATAGAGAGATGAAGAAAGACAAAAAGGGAAAAAGAGGGAAAAGAAAACAAAACAAATTTTTTTAAAAAAGAACAAGAAAATCCCCCCCAAAAAAAGAAAAAACCAGAAGAAAGAAATGCGCTTGGGGATCCCTCTGCGTGTCTGCACAAGCTGAGGGGGTAGATCCCAAGCCACACAGCACTGCCCAGCCAGAACAGGCTCCCAACTCAGGAAAGAAAAAGAAAACAAACAATTCAAAACAAACAAACAAACAAAAAGCCCCAGGATCCCACCAGCGTGGCAGCATGGACCAGGAGGCTGTTCCACACTCGAACGGAGCTCCACAGCCCCTCAGGAAGAAGCAAAGATGGCGCATGGAGCCAGGTATTTGAATGAAAGGAGGGGGAGGTGGTGAGAGGTAAGGAAGAAATCAAAAGAAGTGGAAAAAGCAACACCAGCAACCAACAAATGGCACTCAGGGAGTCGTCCAGCGTGGACGGGTGGAATCCAAGCAGCCGGTGCTTCCCGGCCAAGAGATTGTGGCCGCGGGAAGCAGAGGAGGCTGAGTGGGGGCGAAGAAGGGTTGGGGGTGGAAAAGTGTATATTGCCAGTTACTGGTTATTCTGTCTCCTGCTGGAAGCTCCTGAAGCTGCTTTCTCCTGCCCCCTATTTGCTGGGCTCTGATAGGAGCCCAAGATGGCAGATCCGTGCTGTGTTAGCTGATAGGGGATCTCTGCATGTATGTCCTCACTCTCTGTTCTCTGTCAGTTTCTATTCCATTTGGTGCTTGGCTGAGTTCTTTATCTCTTCATTTGATGTTTAGGATTTCAGGATTGCTGTTTTCTCTGTTTGGCTTAGTTTTTCGGATCTTTGCTGTGGAGGGACAGCATGGTGCTTCTGCCTAGAGCACCATGTTGCCAGAAGTCTCAAACACAGGCATTTCTTATGAAAAAGAGTTAACTCAGAAAATAAAATCAAGAGCCTAGGGTGTGGAGCCAAGAGCCAAGGAGAAACATTTCTAGGAAGCAGATCTGGGCCCTAATCAAGAATCTGGTGACTTGTATCTGACTTAATTTCAGGATTAGTATGGACCAGTGACCACTGCTTGGTGGTGTGATGTTAAGCACACAGTGCATGTAGGCAGGATGGAGGGGGGAGACTGTGATGTGTAGAACTAAGACGGGTATGGTAGAGAGGAGAGAGGAACAGGAGCCAAAAATATACAAACAAACAAAAAAGAGTGCTAGGGGAGATTACCTTTTTAATTAGTGGGAGTGTCTATGGCAGTTATCTGTCTCTGTCTCACCATTGTATGTTGAGTGTGTTGTTCACAGGTCTGAACACGAAAAGAAAGCATACTGAGCAGCCATACTGCACCTGAGAAGCCTCATCCTTATCTGGAGCTGACTTAGATAACAAGATCCTGAACTTCAAGCTGATGCCTTAATGGAATGAAACTTTGAGGCTCTTGGGAAGAAGGTGAGTGTATTTTGCATATGGGAAGGATATGAATTGTAGTCAGTGGCGTTTCATGAATGCTTCTCCTCATGTTAAGAGACAGACTATAATTCTCCTCTCCTTGAATCTGGGCCAGCCTTAATGACTCCCTTGATCAATAGAATGCAGCAGAAATGAATGTTCTGGGATTTCCAAGGCTAAGTCTTAAGAATCCTACCAGACTTCCTTTTGGGCCTCTTGGAATGCTCACTTTTAACAGACAGTCTCTCAGAACCCAGCTGCTGTGTTCTGAGAAGCCCAAGCCACATAGAGAGGTCATAGGTAGGCACTTCAGCTGACAGCCCCAGCTGACAACCAGCCTCAATTTCCAGGCATATTAGTGAGCTATCTTGGAGGCTGAGTTAAGTTGAACTTTCAAATGACTCCACCTCTAACTTCTATCAGCAACCACATGACAGACCCCAAATGAGAACCACCAAATGAGCCCAGTCTACCTACAGAACCATGAGAAATAATAAATTTATGTTTTAAGCCACCAGGTATTGGGGTGGTTTGTTAGGGAGCAATAGATAACAAAAACAGCGTCTCAGAATCACTGAATCAAAACCCCAACTGCCTACCCTAGACTTCCTGTTGTGTGAGACTTCAAACACAATTTATTTAAACCACTGTTAGTCAGGTTTACAGTAGCTTATAACTTAGTACATCCCTAACTAGTAGAAAACCAAAACCAAACCCGTTGCAATCAAGCCGATTCTGACTCATAACAACCCATAGCACAGAGTAGAACTGCCCCATAGGGTTTCCAAGAAGCACCTAGTAGGATTCGAACTGTCAACCTTTTGGTTAGCAGCCCTAGGTCTTAACCACTCCACCACCAGCGTTTCCTGACTAGTAGAGAATTTGATAACTAGTGGGATCCATCCATAAAAAAGAACCTAAAATGTTGAACTGACTGAATGGAAAAAAGAAGGCAATAAAATATGAGGCTCTAAGCTTTGCAGGCTGGAAAGCTGGTGAACCTTGTTATGAGATGGCAAAGCACTTGGTCAAACAGTCCTCTGTGTACCTAGGCTATAGTTTTAGGGAAAATGGTAGAATGTTGACATGAGCTGACACCTTGTAGCTTTCAGCAAAGACCAACAGGAGAGGAATGAACTCAGACTAGAACTAGCCAATCTGAAAGCAGATATTAAAAGAAATACAGCTGTGGAAAAAAAAAAAAAGAGAGGGAGAACAAAAAGGTATACTGCCAATGGTCTGAAAACTTACAAGAAGTTCTTATAATGAAGGCTTGCAGCACTGATTAGACACACTCGTGTCTCTTGAGCAGATCCTAGAATAACTCATGGCTCACCATATTCAATGTCAAGGTCTGTCCTTTCTCCTTTGTTAAAATTGTAATTTTCTCTTTTTAGGTAATGATAGTGTTGGTATATGGTATTTGCCTTTTTAAATATTTTTTATTTGGTAAAATCAAATGTTAGCAACTTATCTCCATGTCCAGAATGTTACTTGCATTCAAAATCCCAAAGTCTGGAACCCATGGCCTTAGGGAGATTTCAGAAGGGCCCAGCAGGAGATGAGATCTAGGAGACCCTCGGTTTCCAGCATTCCAACTGAGCCAGTGAGGTTATACAACATCACTCAGCAACTACAATGTTATCTTCAAACAAAAAGTTTACTGAGTACAAAACTAGAAGGGATAGAGAGTCCTCCTGGGCCTGAAAGACCCATGGGCAGGGAGTGGAGGGCTCTGTTTCAGGATCGCTCTGTGTAGCCCTGGAAGAAGTCGTTATACATCATAGTGACGCGGGCCAGAAAAACAGTATACTCCTGGAAGTCCACCTGTTGGTGGTTGTTCTTATCCAGGTCGTCCATCAGCTTCTTCAGTCTCTCCTCATCCATCGCCGTCTAAAGAAGAGAGAAGGTGGTCATCATCAAGCTGGCCCTCACCTCCACACCACACGCACAAGCAGATACCACATGCACGCTGGCCAGTGCCCAGCTCTCCCTCCCCACTGGACAGTCGGGAAAGTGGTAGGCAGGGAGCCCCTAGGAGCTACTAAGAGGGCCTAGTGAGTGAGGCCATGTAGACATTCACTGGTGAGAGTCTCCAGCCATGCCCTGCTGGGAGTGGGGAGCATGCCAGGTCCTCTTCCAAGCACAGTATCAGCTCAGGTCTTCATAGGAACCCAATGAATAGGTATCATTGCCTCCATTTTGCTGATGAGGGAACTAAAGCTTTCTGGGGCCACTGCTGCCCCCCATCACCAGCAGGGTGAATTCAGAAAAGGCAACCTCTTTTTGTGTGTGCACGTGTGTGTTTGCTGTGTGTGTGCGCGCACACGCGTTTATCGTGGCGAAAATATACACACCAAAACATTCGCCAACAAAACTTTCACGTTTACAATTCAGTGACAATGATTACAGTTTTCACATTGTGCCAATATTATCACTATCCTTTTCCAAAAGATTCCACCACCATTAACATAAACTCAATGTCCCTCAAACAAAAACTCTGCCTTTCTCCCCTCCATATATCCCTGGTAACCATTAATAATCTTGGGTTGCTATATATTTGCTTATTTGATCTAAGTGAGATCATACGGTATTTGTCCTTTTGCGATGGACTTATTCTGCTCAGCAAAATGTTTCCAAGGTTCATCTATGTGTGGCATGCATTGAAAAGGCAAGCTCTTTTTAATGCCAGCTAACATGAAAGCAAATAAGAAAAGTTTAAACAGAAAAGAGGGGAAGGGAGAGGAGAAGGACTTGCCTCCCACTTTCAAAGCCTGAGAACTGACTTTGGGATTATCCACAAGCTGGTGTGATGAGGGACAAATGGAGAGTTGATTATATCTCTCTGCAAAATGCCCCAGCGTGCACGTCTTATCTGGATTTTTCTCTCCATACATATCTTAGCTTGGCACATAAATATGGAAAGAGAGAGAGAGAACAAGCTGTGGGATCTTAGGCCAGACATTTCCCCTCTCTGGGCTCTGGTCTGCTCAACTCTACAATGAGTGGAATGGACAGATGGACTCTGAGGACCCTGACAGCACACCTGTTCTCTAGAAGGCTGCAGAGAACAGCCATTAATAGAACGTGGGCTTCCACTTCCACTCTCGTGGGGCCGGGAAGCAGAAGTTGGTCAGGGGGAAGTCTTGGCCTCACCCTGGTGTCTACATCAGCATGAGAGGGGAGGGGAGGAGAAGGTGGAGAGAAGATATACCCTGCGCCCCACACACTCACACCCCAAGACATCACAGGCCCTCGCTCCGTCTGCAGGCCCGCCCCACTCACCCCCACACAGCTGGGCAGCTCCTTGTGCAGAAGTTCTTTCATCTCCCGCTTACTCAGCTTAAACTTGTCGCCGTCTTGGCCTGAGTACTTGTGAAAGGTGGTGACCATCACAGCCAGTGTTCGTTCCAGGGGTCTGGACATCTTGGATCTGGGGCCACAGGGGTGTCAGGTGATGGTGACACCACCGAGGCTTTGGGGGCCTCCACCCAACCTGCAGGACACACTTCTTCCGTTGGGACCCAAACTCCCTCCCCAAACTCCTTTCTGAGTGAGAAGGCAGGGGCTGTGTCTCCCCCTCAGACTGTGGCTCCTTGAGGGCAGGGGCCGTATCTCCACCTCACACTAAGTCAGAGGTTCACCACAGGCGGGGCCTCATGTCCCCTCTGCTCTCACTTGGGGCTCCCCGGGGGTAGGGCTGCCCTCTTTGAGCCTCTGTGGGAAGGGAAATGACAGAATGACCCCATTTTGACTCCTATCCGTGCAGTTCCTTCCACAGGACAGTGGGCTTTGCGTTAAGCACTGGGATCCATGGGCATCTCCGCCGTCAGCTGGTGGGGGGCTCCCTGGCTGTGGGGCAGTGGCATGGTTACAGACTAGAAGGAAGCTCACTGAGTCCTTTCCCTACTCAGACCAGGGGCTCCTAATGCCTGAGGGTGTCTCTCTCCATCTAACTGGGAACTCCCTTGGGGCAGGGCCATCTCCTCCCTCAGACTGGGCACTCTCAGAGAACATGTCTCCCCTCGCACCTGAGGCCCCTGAGTCATGGGGTGCTATCTCTATGCAGACAGGACAAGTTTCGGTAGGGTGGGGGCAACGAAACACCTCTCCCCCCAGGAAGAATCCTGGCCTTTATGGACCTAGCGATGGTAACGGGCACCCCGGGCAATCTCTAAATTTTGCCACACCCCAATTTCACAATGAATAGATGTTGACAGCGGCGCTGCATCAGCAGAGACGCCTTCCCCGCCCCCCCCCGCCCCCTCCCCCATCCAGCTGCTTCAGTCAGTCACCTTTCATATTTGTGGCGTCTCAGAATGTCATTCCACGCCCGGTCTGGCGCTTCCTTGGACTTGTGCCCAGAGGCAAGTGCCCCCTTCTGCTCCCCCCTTGCTACACGTCTGCCGGCTATCTGTTGGGATTGGAACCAAAGAAAGTACATGTCCGGTGCCCTGGGATCAGGACAGACCCTGGGGACACAAGGACAGACTTAGAGGTCATTTTTTCCAAGGCCCGGCCTCTAAGCCTGCTCGGACCAGCCTGAGAAGGTTAGGCAGGTCCCAGGGTGAGGCCAGGGAAGCTGGTGGCTGAGGCAGGGAGACCCCTGGCCCATTCCGCCAGCCCTGCCTTCACCAAGGCTGCAGAGGGCAGAAAGTGGCCGAGGGCAGAGCTATGCTGCTACTCAGGGCCGGGACCCAGGCGGGCCAAGCACTTGAGATCCCTGGCTCTTGTTCGTCAGTCCTGCTGGAGTCCAGGACTTTGCAAAGAAACAGAAACAGCCAAAAAAAAACACACCTCATACTCCAAGGCCTAGGCCCCCAAAGAAGGGTCCTTAGACTGAGATATCCA